ATTAGCATCATACTAATCAGTATCGTCCTCACCATCATCATCAGCAGCATCATCAACGCCATCATCAACATCAGCATCAACATCATCATAAGCAGCACCATCATCAGCATCATCATGATCATCCTATTCGCCATCGGCAACCTCAACACGATGACTAGCACCATGCTGAGCCTCGTCCTCCTCGTTCTCGCCATCATCCTATTGTTCCTCCATATCCCAAAGTTGTGCGTCCATCCAAAGTGTGGCATCCTCCATCCATGTTGGCAGACGTGCTCTCTATGTGCAGTACTGGTGAATGAGGGGACCCAAGCCCGTCCGACAAAATGCCATTCCTGCTCCTCATCACCACCAGTGTCGTACTGGTACCTACCCTCACCCCAACATGCGTTTACAAGCCATATTTCCGCTGCAGTTCACAAGAATATCCGTCGCACTCCCATGCGGGGAGTGGCGTCAGGCTGCGATGCCTGATGTTCAGCGCAGCTGTGCAGCTTAGTCTCCCCCAGAACAGTGAGTCAAATCTCAGCGTTGCGATATTCATTGGAGCTCAGCACCTTGGCAACCGTGATCTGGCATTGATGAATAGTCGGGGCAAAGGGAATCATGGGTTTCCCAAAGGTGAAACTCTACGTTTCGAAGCAAAAGGGCGAGACGCCCCCCTCGGCCCGAAAGCGACGCTTCATCACCTCTGAACCACAGCTCATCAGCTCAAGGGAGCCTTGGCGGCACGACGAGAATACAGTAGCTTCGCGGTCCCCCCGACGAGAGCCATCGTGACAAAAAATATTGATCCGCGCCCTCGGAGCCACCGTCCCTTGCCAAAAACGTCTGGCCCGCACATTCGAGGCCACGAAGCCTAGTGAGCACATTGGCTCCGCGCTTCCAACAAGCCCGACAGCCTGCCAACCCAACCAAACAACTGGTTAGCCAGCCAACCTGCGAACAACCAGCAGAGCTGCCCGCCTGCCAACCAATCAACCAATCAATCAACCAAACCCTTCGCAGATGGTTGGGAACGAGAGTCCCAAACAAGGGAGTTATGGGATGTGATGGGATAAGAAGGAAAATAAAAAGAGAGGAAGAAAGAAAAGAAGGGGGAGAAGAAGGGGGAGTAAGAGTGGAGACGATGGTAAAAAAGAAGGAGACGAAAGACGAAGAAAAGTAAAAGAAGAAGGAAGAAGTAAGAAATGAAAAGAATGAAGATGAAGAATGAAGACTGAGAATGAATGACGAATGGAAGGAATGAAAGAAGAAGAGGGAAGAAGAAGAAGAGCAGCAAGAGCGAGAAAGAGGCAAGAGAAGCAAGAAGGGAAGCCGAAGACGAAGCGCAACTCAGACCGCCGGTGAGCGACGTCAGCAGACTCCTCATACTCCATCCTCAATCCTCCCCTCCTCCTCCTCCTCCTCCTCTCTCTCCTCCTCATCCCATCACTCCTAGATCATCCTCCTCCTCCTCCCTCTCTCCTCTCCTCCCTCCTCCTCTCCTCCTTCCTCCTCCCCTCCTCTCCTCCTCCTCATTCATCATCCATCCTCCTCCTCCTCCCTCCTGGCTGTCTCACCACATTCGCCGTCCTCACTGCGAACTTGGCCGCCCCTGGGCCACCAGGTTGAGAAGCTCCGGGCCCACCAGGAAGCCGGCCACGATGTAGCCGAGCAGCAGGGGCTGCTTCAGCATGCTCACGGTCAGCGCGAGCAGGCCTGGCGCGCCGCGCGGCCCAGCTGTGCCCCACTTCGCCCTCGTGCTCCCCCGCTCCGGCCCTCCCCTCCCCCATCGCCGCCAGCCCCTCCCCCGCCTCTCCCTCCTCTGTGTCGGGGAGACGCAAGACTCGCGCACGGGGGACTCGGCCTGACGGGGCCATCATGAAAACGACGAGGCCCCATCCGAAATCTGACGCCAGCTCCCGCTGCAAGCATCCCACGATAACTGGACCGTCAGAGCCCGAGTTCCGGCAAGCTCGAGCCTTACGTTTTCCCGACTGTGGCAACTCGTGGGAGCCTCCAACACCAGCGTGCCGGCCCTTGCACATCGACGCTCATCGACGCTGAATCGGCTCTAGATCGGCGCTATCTCATCGGCTGCCAGGCGCTGAACGACGCTGGTGCACACCAAAGTTGGCGGCGCGCACAAGGGGGTGGAGGGAGGGGGGGAGGCTTCTTAGAAGGAGGCTGCTTCTTAGAAGGCGCCGGCCTCACATCTGTAGATAAAGCCCGCGCCGTCTAAGAAGCAGGGGTGCTTCTAAGAAGCCCTCCCCCCTCCCCCCACCCCCCTCTGCGCGTGGCTGACAAAGACAGAGTTGCGAAGATGTACAAGGCTCCCACGAACGACCAACGAATTTCCCATCCGCGGCCGGCGCACCGCAAGGACGGCGCGCGCAGCCCCGATCTCCGAGACGCACGCGGCTGTAGCTCTAGGCGACAGGCTGCCATTGGCATGGCCTTCAGCCGGGCTGGACCTAAACGTTGCTGCTCGTTGTGCCTTCGTTTTGTGCTTCGTTTTGCCCTATACCTGTTTTCCCGCACCCCCCTGCCCAGACACGAACAACAAGGCACAGCCGAAGTCCAGCAAAACAGCGTGGAGGTCCAGCCCTGGCATTCAAGAGAATGCGATCAAGGAGACGGCGTCGGCCGTCGAGCAGCGGAGTCGGATTCCTCCAGGTCGTCCCCCCTTCGGGCGTCAGGGCTGCCCACCGGGCAGACGGGACCGCTGACAGACGGGCACGAGGAGGTGCGGGACGAGGACACGGACGAGGAGGACGAGAACAAGGAGGACGATCAGGACCAGGGCAGGCAGGACCATGACGACGAGGGCGCGGAGGAGGGTGAACGCGACGGCGACGGCGGTGGCGCAAGCGAAGGCAATGGACGAAGACGAGGACGAGGAGCGAAGGGCAGGAGGGCTCATAATCGAATCGATATAAGTCGGATCGGCGATCGAAATTCATCGGATCAGCCGAGATCGGCACCCGAGGGTCGGGAGGAGTCGAATCGGCGGAGCTCGGCAGGCCGGTGTGCCTCCACCGAGAAGTTGGAGCCCACCGCGGAATCCCAAGTCGCATCGAATCGGAATCGGAAGCCATCGAGGTCGAATAATCGAATCGGGTCGGAGGAATCGAGACGAGCCCTGGAAGGGGGTGGAGGGGGCAAGAACACGATCGGGGCGAGGGCGAGGACGAAGGCGTGGAACACGAGGATCCGCAGACCCCCGCTTGCCGGAGGTGAGAAGGCGTGTGAGACATTTGGCTGTCCCCTCCCCTTTCTCCCCCCAAGGGTCCAAGATGCCGTTGGGGGGGGGGTACGAGCTCGCCTCTTCACCCCAGGGGCCACTGGAGATTCCAAGAGCCCCAAGGGGCCCAGACAGAGCGCCAAGACAGTCGAAGAGAGCGTCGAGACGGCCCAGGGTAGCCGCACGACGGTCCAATCTGGCTTCAAGACGGCTCGCAAGGCCCCCAAGACTGCCCAGAGTATTCCAGGAGGGCCGCCGAAAAGGCCCCACGAGGCAAACATCGTCCCAATCCCTTCGGAAAACTTATACGTTTGACACACTCGCCCTGTTCGTGACAGCTTCTGAAGCTGCCCAATGGGACCCCCAAGATCGTCACAAAGCGGCCGATGAGGCCCCCAAGAGGGCCCCAAGGCAGCCCAAGAGGACCCTGAGACGCCCCCAGGAACCCCAAAGACGGCCCAAGAGAGCCCCAAGAGGGTCCCAAGAGAGTCCAAGAGAGCCCAGGAGAGCCCAAGAGGGGAAATACGAACTCATGTGCCGAGCCTTTCCCCCCAAGATGGTCCCAAGAGCCCCTCTGAGGCCCCAAGAGGCGCCCCTCAGAGGCCCCAAGAGGCCTCCAGGACGCCCCCTAAGAGGCTCCCGAGAGGCCCCAAGGAGCCTCCCAAACGCCCTCCAAGAGCCCTCCGAGAGGCCCCCGAGAGGCATCCCAGGACACCTTCCATTATACTCGTCCAAGCGGCTCCTGACCCACAGCCCAGGCCCGGTGGCGGGTTGGGCCGACGGCCGCCCGACGGTCGCCGCGATCGCCGCGGGCTCCGGCGCCTTCCGGGGCCCGCGGAGTGGCGCAAGGAGGAGGAGGAGGAGGAGGAGGAGGAGGAGGGCGGGGAGGAGGAGGAGGAGGAGGAGGAGGAGTAGGAGGGGGGGAGGAGGAGGAGGTGCGAGGAGGAGAGGAGGAGGAGGAGGAGGTGGAGGAGGAGGAGGAGGGGAGGAGGAGGAGGAGGAGGAGGAGGAGGGGTGGAGGAGGAGGGGGTGGGGGAGGGGGAGGGGGAAGGTGGGCGGGGCAGGAGGGGCGGGGAGCGCGGCGGGGGGGGGGAGGGGGCCAGCGACCGCCCCGCCCGCCCTGCGGCGAGCGTGCTGTAGGAGATCGCAGGTGATGATGGCGTGCCCCTCTTCCTCCCCCCGCCCCCCCCCCCCCGTGCGGGCGGCGCGCCCAGGGGGGAGGGCGCCCAGGGGGGAGGGAAGCGAGAAGGGGCGGGCCCCTCTGCGAGGGCCCGGATGTCCCTCAGGTGGGCCTTCCCCGAGGACGCAAGAGGTGTCTCAGGAGTCCTGGGGGGGGGGGGGCTGAGAAGCCCCGCCGCCTTCGGAGCCCCGCGGCCATCTGAGAGGGCCGCGGCTCCTTTTCACTTCCTCCCCTCGCCCCGCCCCCCTGGATGGAGGGCCCCGCGAGCGGGGAGGGGGTACGGGGGAAGACGACAGGCAGAGGCGAAAAAGGCGAGGACGAAGGAGGAGAGTTGAACCAACATCTACAGATGTATGTTCACAAATCTGCCGTGGGACTCCCGTGGGCCACTCTCTTGGCCAAATTTCATGGCGCCTCTCCCCCTCCCTCTCTCTCTCTCTCTCTCTCGTTCTCTCTGTATATCTTTCTCTCTCTTCTATTCCGTGCTCCGTATATCCATCTCTCTCTCTCCCTCTCTCTCTCTCTCTCTCTCTCTCGGCCGCTGACGATTATTTTTTATCCGCGGTCCTCGCCAGACAGGTTCCCCCCCCCTGTCCTCTCGGCCGATGGCGATTATTTACACATGCGGCCCCCTCTAGCGCACAGGCAGGTTCTCACCAGACGTGGCCCTTCAACCTGGCCATGGCGACGGCCGAGCCGAGCTCGAGAAACATATCTGGACAGCTGGCGCGCCTGTAGCGCCACGCCCAGAAGTGCACCCAGTTCTCGAGCTGCGCCTGCGACTCCTTGCTGTACGTGTTCATCGTGGTTGGGACGACGTTCTTCACGTGCGACCACAGCCCGTCCTGGAGCTGCGTCCCGCCGTAGCAGCACAGGACGTCGCCCCCGCTCAGGGTCAGCGTCTTGACAGTCGCCCAGATGCGCTTGGCGTGCTTGACCTTCGTGTGGTTCTCGAGGCGGCGGTAGCACCGCGCTCCGTCTGTGTGCCAGATCAGCACGTCGGCCCCCGTGTGAGCTGAGATCAGCGGCGCGGTCTCATCCGTGCTCTCGGGGCGCGTCGGGCCGCCACGGACCGCATAGAAGGGCGGCAGCATGTGCACGACGGCGTGTTCGTGGTCTCCGCGCTTGCACATGCCGAACACGCGGATGTGCATGTTGCGCCCGTTCTTGAGCTGGACGACCCGCAGGGTCGTGGCGTCGGTCTCGCACTGGCCGCTCAGCACGATCGACTTCTGCTCTTCCCTCGAAGCAGCCGAGACGATCTCCAGCAAACTCTGCCTGACCGCCTCGCACTGCTTGTGGCCCATCTTGGCAATCAGCGCCATGTCGGCTGTACTCATGCGGGACGTCAGGGCGCCGCACGACAGGAAGGCGACGCCCGCCAGCTTCGGGAGAGGCACTTCCACATCCGCCCACGTGCCGCTCGTGACCTTCACCTGCACCGAGGACGACGAGCAGGCCTTGCGCTGACACCTCTGGACTGGATGCCGCTTCTCGCCCCTGTGAATCACCGAACCCAATGGCCATCCGCACCTGGGGCAAACGTTCTCGGAGGGGTCGCCGAGGTACCCCGCCTGGACCATCAAGTCGTAAGCATCCTTGGTCTTCAGAGCCCTGAGGTCCTCGTACGTGTAGATCTTGGCTAAGGAAGACCTGCCGCGCCGCACGCGGGACACCCGCTGGCGCTTGGGCGTGTAGAACACGCCCGTGGCTTCCAAGCGCTTGCGTTTGGCCTGGGCCGCCTTGCGCGCCTTCCGCGCCTTGGCCAAAATGTCGCGGCGGCGCGAGGCGGCCTGCACCGACCGCTTGTTGCGACGCTTCTGGGGGAAGCGCTGCCCTCGCGTGCGGCTTCGACCCCTGGCCTCGGAGGCGGCGGGGCGACGGTGGACGGTCATCCCCGGCTCCAGGCGCGATAGCACGGGCGAGGCAGTGCGCGAGAGGCGCGGGCACCCGCGGCTCTGGCTGCCGATTCGGCCAAGAAACGGCTGCGGCGATGACAGCAACCATACCGGATGGACGGCGATGGCGGCGGCGGCGGCGACGACGACGACGTCTGCGGGGGCGGCTGGATTTCTTAGAACGGCAAAAGAAAATGGCATGATAACGCGCGGTACTTGTGGATAACCCTATCAAGACACAACATGTTGGCGGCGCGCGCCCCCAGCTCATCTGGGGCGCAGCGGCGCGCGCCACCTCGGCAGCGCGCGCGGCATCAGCGCCCGAGCTGAGGGTGCCATCGCTGCCCGCGAAACCCGCGCGCCGCACCTGCCCGCCCGCGCTCTCGCGGCCGCCCGCTCGCTCCTGACTCTGAGAACCGAGGAAAGCGTGCGCCTCGTCCTCCTCCGCAGCCGAGGGCATCGCAGGCACAGCGGGCGCCCCCTCCTCGGCCAGCATCTGCGAGAGCTGGACCTCGAGATCGTCGCGGGGCGGGGCCGCGGGCCCAGATGCAGTGGACGACGCCGCGGCATGTTGCTTGGCGGGGGACGGGCTGTCGACATTGAGCGTCATCCCCGAGAGCAGGCGCTTCCGAAACGTCAGGCGCTCAGGGGACACGCGCTCTCGCTTCACCTGTCGGGAGGGGCTCAAAGATGATGTCCGCCAAGGCCGAGGCAGCGTTTCAGCGTTCAGAACGCGTTGAAGTGCTCCCTCAGCCCTAGGGCCCCACCCCGCAGGGCCGCATCTTTGAACCCCCAAACCTGGACGAACGACGGGGCTGGCAAAGAACCGAGGGCCGCGTCTGAGGACTTCTTGCGGTTCTTCTCCACGGCGGAGTCCACGAGGAGCCGCTCCTTCTCCAAGAGCTGCTGGATATTGGCGGGCGGGGTCATGTCGCCGTCCTTCTGCAGTAGGTACAGGCGCTTCCCCTCGGCCGCCAGGAAGGTCTCGCCCTTGAAGTTAATGCGCGGAACATCTTTCTCCTCAGTGCCTGCTGGGCGCCAGTAGAGGTATTCCTGGGTATTCACCAGAAACGCAGAACGCTTGAAGAAAGCCAGCATGCATGCGCGGGTCGCCTTCTCGGAGAAGGCAGGGCGCACGAGCTCGAAGAATTCCTGGAACTTCACGGAGGGCCAGCGGTCCAGCTTCTCGGCATTCGGATCGTAAGTCTGGTCCGCCAAGCACCGAGGCTCCCCCTTCTTCCATTTCGTTGCGCCCCACCTGGCCCAGCACATGCTCTCGTACTGGCCGACGTCGAGCAAGGCCTTCACCATCTTGGGCGGGAGGAGATTCAAGCAGCCATCGTCCACAAAGTCCCCCATGAGAATGTCGCCGGGCTCGCCTCGCAAGAAATCGATCTCAGGCGTGACGCGGATGCAACAACCCGCGGGGTCCAATCCGTGGACCCGCGCGTTCCTGCGGCACATTGCCATCAGGAATGCGCGCCCGAGCGGCGTCTTGCCGATGTTGGGCTCCCCAATGAGGACAAGCGAATCGTTGCCGTTGATCAGCTCCTGCATGGCTTCGAGAACGCGAAGGTTGAAGTGGTCCTCGCAGAGGATCACGTTGTTTTCGAACTCCTTCTTTGCAAGCGCGCCCTCCGCCGCGAGCCCGCTCAACGCCTTCGCCACCAGGGGGACGGGCCAGCCGTAGAGGGGGGCGCCTTTGCGTAGCGCCTTCGTCTGCCATACCAGCTGCTTGAGCTCGGCCGTGGAGCGAGGCGCGTTCTTCAGGATGTATTCGAAGCCAGCGTTTATATCCTCGTCCGAGAGCTCGTAGAACTCGTTCACCTTGGTGGCCGTCTTGACGTCTGGCGATAAGAAGAAAGCCCGACACTGTTTGCCTCCGAACCGCTCGAAGGCGTATTGCCAGACCTTGACCCCCACCTGGCGGCGCGATCGAAAAAAACAAAATGGCGAGGGCGCCGCGCCCTCGCCACCCTTTTGTTTCCCCAATCGTGCACCTTGGGATGCTGGAAGCAGAGCTTCTTGACGCTCCCGAAAGCCATGCTGGCGAAGACGGCCGTCTTCGCCTTGTTGGGGATGACGCAGTGTTTGATTATGGTCTTCGTGCCGTCGGGGGCGTCAAGGATACAAATCTGCAGCGTCATGTGGTGTTGCGGCGCCGTCTTGAACCCGAACGGTGGCGGCAGATTGTGGTAGCTGTCGTCCTTCCAGGCCGCCTTGTATTGCTCGTCGAGCTCGGGGGGGACTGGGTCTCTATGCCCCGTGATGAAATCAATGTAGTGCACCAGTGGGTTCTCGTTGGCCCCGATGTCGTCCGTGAGTTCGAGAAAAGGCTCGATTTCTCCACGGGGCAGCACGCCCGTTACCATTGGTGCAGGAAGAGGGCGGCAATACCAGCCCTCGGTCGCCGATTTCAGGTCCTCGTAAGCGGCCATGCCGCGGTCTTGAATGACGCTGAGGGTTTGCCAGAAGGCGCACGCTCGGCGTTGCGATTGGGCCCAAACAGCTACGAGCAGCGAGGGGGGTCAGGAAACGCTGGGTTCCTCCAAGATTCCTGGATTCCTGGATTACTCCTGTGTTCCTGGGTTTCTCCTGGGTTCCTGGGTTCCTGGGTTCCTCCTGGGTTCCTAGGTTCCTGGGTTCCTCGGTTCCTCCTGGGTTCCTGGATTCCTCCTGGGTTCCTGGGTTCCTCCTGGGTTCCTGGGTTCCTCCTGCGTTTCTCTTGGTTTCTTGGGTTCCTCCAAGGTTCCTGGATTCCTGGGTTCCTCCTGTGTTCCTGGATTTCTCCTGGGTTCCTGGGTTCCTCCTGGGTTCCTGGGTTCCTTGGTTCCTCCTGGGTTCCTGGGTTCCTCCTGGGTTCCTGGGTTCCTCCTGGGTTCCTGGGTTCCTCCTGGGTTTCTTTTGGTTTCCTGGGTTCCTCCAAGGTTCCTGGGTTCCTGGGTTCCTCCTGTGTTCCTGGATTTCTCCTGGGTTCCTGGGTTCCTCCTGGGTTCCTGGGTTCCTCGGTTCCTCCTGGGTTCCTAGGTTCCTCTTGGGATCCTGGGTTTCTCTTCCGCCTCCTCCCAAGCCCCTTGCTGGCTACCGAAAGGTACCCGAAGACGGCCGAAGAGCACCCGAAGTGCTCCCGCACGGCTCCCGAAAAACACCCGGAGGGCACCCGCAAGGCACCCGAAAGGCACCCGAAGGGCACCCGCAAGGCACCCGAAAGGCACCCATCCTCAGAATTCGGGGGTCGACGCCGATAGTAAAAATGCACAACGTCATAATGATTATGATACTTCTTCAAATCTGATTTTTGCACTTAACGAGAAATGCTTCGCTTTCCGTTCATATGCAACGGCAACAACAAAAAAACCCAAAAAAAAAAATTCTCGAGCGTTTCCCCCTTCTGAATGGTATATTTGGGGAGTTGCGCGGCACGTGTATACTCGCAATGCACTCCGCTAATTGCTAAGGCACCCGCAAGGCACCCGCAAGGCACCCGAAAGGCACCCATCCTCAGCAACCAGCTGGGCCTTGAGTCTGCTGCCGTCGCGGGAAGGGGATGGCGGGCACGAAAGAGAGGGTAACCAGAAAACTTGGTTGAGGGAGAGAGAGGTGAGGAGAGGGGAGGGGCATCGAAGGGACATTGAATTTGCGATGCCCCTGGGTTCCCTCCTGGGTCTCCTCCAGGGGTCTCCTGGGGCCTCTCTGGGGCCTCTCTGGGGCCTCCTGGGGCCTCCTGGAGCCGCCCGCTCCCCAGGGGGAGGGGTGGCGGAAGCGAAAAACCAAAAAAAACACAAGGAAAAACAAAAAAAACCAAAGAAACCAAACACCAACAGCCGAAAAACCAAAAAAACACAAGGAAAAACCAAAAAAAACAAAAAAACCAAAGATTTCGATACTTCGTCCACCCCCACCGCCCTGACAGCGAAAGTGTTGTAAACTTTGGTTTTTTTGTTTTTTTTGGTTTTTCCTTGTGTTTTTTTGGTTTTTCGGCTGTTGGTGTTTGGTTTCTTTGGTTTTTTTGGTTTTTCCTTGTGTTTTTTTGGTTTTTCGCTTCCCACATCCCTGTGTGGCGCTTTCCAATCGAATCCCTTTGTTGCGGTTTCCAAAGGATTCCTGCTGTGAGGCGTTCCACTGGAATCCCTTTGGAATGTTTTCCAAAGGGGTCCTGTTGCGAGGATGGGAGGGAAGAGTGCGATTGCAACGCTATGCGTCTGCAATGCAATGCAATGCAAACAAAGAGGAGGACATGCATGCAGACAAACAGGAGGAGCAGGAGCAAGAGCAACCCACCATGAAATTTGGCCAAGAGAGTGGCCCACGGGAGTCCCATGCCACAAATCTGTCCATATATTATTATATTCCATATGTCTAGATATATATGTATATACACATCACATATGCACAAACAAACCACACACACACACACAAAAAGGCGCTTCGCGCCATGCACATTGGTCCTTGAGGCTTTGCTTATGTTGGTCGTTCGCGCTGTCCCTAGTGGCCTGGAAAATTTGGCCCCTTCCCTGCAGTGGTCGGCGGAAGTCTTCGAAAGTTCGGGCGGTTCCTGGCGTGGTCCTTCCTGGGCCTCTAGGAGCTCCCGAAAGGCGCCAGGAGGAGGGCGAAGGATAGAAGGGAGGGAATCGCGGGGAGCGAAGAGAGGGAAGCGGACAAGCGGTGGAACGGCAGAAAAAGAGGAGGAGGAGGAGGACTCAGAGGAGCAGGAGGAGTAAAAGAGATGGCGCCGTCGGGGGGCGGCGAAGAAGTTCGGTTGCGCCGCACCGAGGACCGCTGTCCAGAAGCCAACGGCCACGGTTGCATGTGTACGTGCATGCTTGCAGAAATGTCTAGCAGTGAATTACGAAAGACCTTCGTAGGCTCGCACATTGGCCCGCTCGTGGCTTAGGTGCCCTGGTACACAGTGCGAAGGAATGGCAAGCCACGCGAATGAATGCCAAGCAAACCGACGCAATGTCAAGCAATGCCGCAAAGTACAACGCAATGCCAAGCCGAGGATGTCATGTTGCAGCGAGTCGCAACGGGGCACGCGAAAATAAGCATCAGGGCGCCGTAGACCCGGACACGCTAGACCCAGACACCCAACATCCCTCGAAACCAATTTTTCCAAACGGCGGCACGAACAAAATACTGCACCGCAGCATTTCCAGAATAAACCCGGACACAGGCCCCAAAAGCCTGCAAGACACCGCTAAACCCGGACACAAACCCGAATCCTGCAGTGCAGCAAACAAAACGTGCACGGGCGCTGAAAAACGTGACTTTGCAGGAAAGGATGTCGTTTCGTTAGTTTTCCGTGTCCTGGTTTATCTGTGTCCTGGTCTCTGGGGGCCTGAAAGCAGTTCTTGTGGAATGTTCCGGATCCCTGGTTCGCATCAGATTTCCAGGAAATGTGGTTGCGAACCCAGGATTCGGGTCAGTTTGGTGGAAAACGCCGTGTGGGCCTTGTTGGAGTCCTGGTGGGCCAGCTTGGGGCCCTCTCGAGACGTCCTGGGGCCATCTTGGGCCGTGTTGGGGAGCTTGGGCCCTCTAGGGACCTTACGGGGGCTACGTGGGCACTCATGGTGGCCTCCAATGGCCTCTTTGGGGGCCTCCCATGGCCTTCTTGGGCTTCTCTTGGATGCCTTGTGATGGCTTGTTGGGCCTCTTCTTGGCCCATTCGGGGCTTCCTTGGGCAGTCTTGGGGCCATCCAGGCCGTCTAGAAGCTCTCTTGGGGGTCTCTTGGGCCGTCTTTGGGCGATAACGAATGCCTTTTTGGGCTGTTTGGGGCGCTGCGCGTGGAGCGTCTTGGGGGCCTCTGGAGGCCATCTGGGTCCTCCGTGGAGCGCTCTTGCGCTGTCTTGGGTCTCTCTTCGGCCTCTCTGATCACCGCTCTGATCGCCCGGGGTCTGCCAAGACCCAGCCAAGCGCACTGGGAGGTCCCGGACGAGCTGGGGGTGCCTTGGCAAGGGTGTCTGGGGGGCCCGGAAACCCGGGATCCTGGGGGTCCGGTTTTGGGGGTGGCGGGCCCACCCTCCTGGCGTGTAAAGATATAGGAAGAGGAATAGTGAGAGAGAGAGAGAGAGAGACACACACAGAGACAGGGAGAGAGAGAGAGAGATGATGAAAGCGAGAGAGAAACACAGGAGAGAGAGAGAGAGTGAAAAAACGCCAGGGTGAGGACAGGAACGACATGCGCTCAAACCGATAGGAAGGAGCAAATAGGGAAGAACAAGGCGATGAGGGCGCTACAGGTATGGGTGCGAGTTGCCAGATCCCGAGGGTTCGAGCGGGGACCTCCATCCAACAACACACACACACATCAAGAAATCTGGGGGTAGCATAGGTATGGGTGCTAGTTCATGACAGAGAGCGAAAGAGAACCAGAGAGAGAGAGAGAGAGCGATAAGAGTCGGGGACAAGTAATAGTGACAGCCCAAACTGTCTAAACTGTGGCAGATCTCCCCGATGGTGCCCACACCAGCGCCAGGGAGTGGCTCGCAAACAAAAAACCTCGTGCACAGTGCCGCTGCTTCAAAAATACAACCCGGACTGTCACACGTGAACAGGGCGCGCGCGGTCCCGCACGTTGTACTCCCTCGCGGTTTGCGTCTGATGGCACTGCTGCTCCGCGCGGGGGGGGGGCGGCATGCAGACAGTCCAGAAACCATCAAGCGGGGATCGGGATACCCTGGAGGCTCCTCCTCCTCCTCCTGCTCCTCCTCCTGCTCCTGCTCCTGCTCCTCCTCCTCCTCCTCCTCCTCCTCCAGTCCTTCTCCTTATAGATGACTCCTCCCTGTCGCACCCCGAGGCCAGTTTGTAGAGCGGGCCGGGCGTTTCGCATGAGATTTCCTCACCAGTTATGACTCTGAATCAAAAAAAGTGACAACAGTTTCACAGATGGAGGGCGGGTCGTTTTCAAAATGTGGCTCTCGCCTTTGCGCCGCGCACATTCGATCTTCAAATTGCAAGAGCTTCACGGATTGAGGGCGGGCGGTTTTCAAAATGTGGCTCTCGCCTTAGCGCCGCGCACATGCGCATTCAACATTTGCAAGAGCTTCACGGATTGAGGGCGGGTCGTTTTCAAAATGTGGTTATGGCCTTAGCGCCGCGCACATTCGCTTTAGAAATTTGCAAGAGCTTCACGGATTGAGGGCGGGTGGTTTTCAACATGTGGCTCTCGCCTTAGCGCCGCGCACATGCGCCTTTAACAGTTGCAAGAGCTTCACGGATTGAAGGCGGGTCGTTTCCAAATGTGGTTACGGCCTTAGCGCCGCGCACATTCGCTTTTAAAAATTTGCAAGAGCTTCACGGATTGAGGGCGGGTCGTTTTCAAAATGTGGTTATGGCCTTAGCGCCGCGCACATTCGCTTTAAAAATTTGCAAGAGCTTCACGGATTGAGGGCGGGTGGTTTTCAACATGTGGCTCTCGCCTTAGCGCCGCGCACATGC